TTCCAGGCACCTTTCCCAAACCCTCTACCACAGTCCTTCTCTGCACTACTTCTTCCACCTCAGATACTGAGCCTTTACTCCCCCTCTCTCCGCCCATGAGAGAACACATCGTCTTTTCATGGCATCGTGTGCGTCTGTTGTAGGATGAAGAATCTCTGACAGACGGAAGGTAAGTCTTGTGAATTTTACGGTTTGTTGGGAAAATTCTTGGAAAATTTTCTTGGCTGAGGTTATGTTGTAGGCAAAGCAAGACAGATTTTGAAGTCCATTCATTTACTGGGAGGTCAGTGGATTTGGTAGTAAACTGTAGCCATTGTTATTGGACAATGTTTTGTTGTGCATATATGTACTGGGAGTTCAGTGGATTTGACAGTAATTTATTGCCATTGTTATCTTCCTTTAATCGGATAACCGATTCAGAGGCGGTTGACGAGAGGAATTATCGTTATCAAATAATGTCATCAATTATTGGACTAGATTAACGTACTTTTAAGTAATTTAATTGATCTGAAACTGTGGAAGAGTGATAAAAGAGAGACAGACAGAGGGCATGCTGAACAAAGTTACATTATTTAAATGTTATATTTCCGTCATAGTGCTATAAAGTCACTCAACGAAAATTTTAACTTGAACACTAATTATGTCTTATTAGTTTTATATAAAAAAAAAATAATGTTGGCGTTTATGGATTTATGCATCTACATTTCTGTAATGATTATTGTGATAGCTACTATGTGAGTGTCCACAGGTACTACCAGTGACCCCAAACTGTAACAATAGAATAAATTCAATAATTTTTCCACAGACCTCAGACTCCCTCTCGGCGAAGAGAAGCTGCATCAGCAAAAGGAGGAACTTTTGACCTATTTAAAAATGGCTCCTCGCTCTGGGTATGATGTGGAATCCGAGAGCACACCCTTGCTCGGACGCCCGGCGAAAGCAGGTGAGTTGAGGTCAAGTGTTTTGGCATAGCATCGCTTTCTCGTCCCATTGTATGCTAGCTGTGTTCGATAGTTGCATTCTCCATTAAAATGTTATTTATTTGATATACTTCATAAAGTTTTTGCTTACTCATTCATGACGCGTTATACTTCTTGTTTTACTTTGATGGTTTGATATACTTCTTCATATTTTTTGATAATTGCATGTTCTCATCCAAATGCTAATATATATCGCTGCGAAATTAATGTTATTTTCAATCATGAACGTTGAGGAACTTCTGATAATCAAAGAGGATATAACAAAAAACTATGAATATACTAATAATCGTGATTACGTTTGTGTGTGCTTGTGTACGTATGTATGAATCGACACTCAGGCAAGAGTGCACAATGTGTGTGCATTTTTTTTTTTTTTTTTTTTTTGCATGTATGTGTGTGTGATTACGTGAGTATGTGTTCGTGTGCGTGAATATGCGTGTGTATGTGTAAATCGAGAAGTCAAGCAAGTTCACAGTATATGAGCGAGCGAGCGTGTGTGTGTGTGCGCGCGCGTATGTGTGTGTCTGTGCGTGTGTGCGTGTGTATGTGCGTGAAATAACCGAAGTGGATCATCGACCATCTCTCCTCTGACCTGAAGGATGGGAAAGGAAGCCCATATACACGATGGTTGTGCTTGGTTGCCTCGGGACTGTGGTGGAGTATTGCCAGCGGGTGAGCCTCTCCGTCGCCATCGTCGCCATGGCGAGAGCCAGTGGCAACACGAGTCAGGCTCTCCGAGACCCTTCCTCTGCCTATTACAAGGTTAGTTACGGTTTTGTTATTGTCCTCTCTCTCTCTCTCTCTCTCTCTCTCTCTCTCTCTCTCTCTCTCTCTCTCTCTCTCTCTCTCTCTCTCTCTCTCTCTCTCCAGTTATCATATTGGCATGTTTTAAACTTCCATTTACTATTTATGTTAAATGAATAACTGCAGGGTATTTGAGGAGACTGTTAATTAAACTGTAATAACCTATTATGCATCTTCGCCATTATAACTAACATGTAAAGAAGCTAGAAATAATAGTTCCCTAACCAGTATCGCTGCACTCAAAGTACAGTTCTAGTTGAATAAGCTTGTTCATGCTAAATGTTTCAGTGTGTAAAGATTGTCGAGAAATAGAGTGATAATGTCTTCTAATTTTCTTCTGAAATGAATTAGTCAATTCTGCTTTTTGAGGTGCATACGTAAGGTGCCCACATACATCTACGTAGCAGGAAGTATTGCATCCGATGCAACAAATGGCATTTAAACACTCCAAACGTTGTCCAGAGTAGTTCGACTCAATTTCCACCAAGTCTTGAGCAGTAGTTTCCCACTTAAGCATGAAAAAGCGATCCCCAGACTCCCATCTGATGCCTTTGTTGCTTGCAGGAGGGGGGAGAGCCAGGCGGGTGGGACGCGGCGACCCAAGGCATGGTGCTGGGCAGCTTCTTCTTGGGGTACGCGGCCTCCAGCCTGGCGGGGGGTCGCGGGTCGGAGCACCTGGGGGGAGGGAGGTTGTTCGGGTGGGGCATCGTTGTGTCGTCGCTCTTGGCCCTCGTGTCGCCCCCCTGCGCCAGGACGAGTGCCAAGCTCTTCGCCGTCATCAGGATGTTGCAAGGAGCTGCCCAGGTGAGCATTCTGTGTTATGTTTAATAGTATCTACAATGATAACGTTATATCTGCTACTTTTACAGTCAAAGTGGATCATGATTATTATTACAATCATTACTATTATTATTATCATCATTACAATTATTATCATTATTTTTGTCTTTACTATTGTCATTACCATTGAAAGTGTCAACATCATTATAATCAATAACATCATTTTTATGATTGTTGATGTTAATGTTCTTGCTTTCGTTATTATCGTCATTACATTTGAAAGTGCCATCATTAGAATTATCATTTACATAAACATACTACGATTAATACTATCATTATCATTCTAGCATACATGTATTAAACATGTTACACTTTTGTACATGCTTTGGCGATATCTAATTCCTCTCCACTGAATGTCATTCAAGGGCGTGACTTTCCCTGCCATTAACGTGATGATGGCCGCCTGGATCCTGCCCGCTGAGAGAGCCAAGTTCACCACCATCGTGAGCTCAGGTAAGAGGTTCATCTTGTTTAAACAGATGTTCAATCATCTTTAAACACTTTAAAGATGTGATGTGACGGTTTTTGTTTGGATTGCTATTTATATGATCGTCTGCCAACATTCTTAGGATTGTTTACATTTTGTGATAGCTCTCAGATATCTCTTTGATGACTGCGACATTTACTGGAAACGGTTTTCTTCCAGGTTCGCAACTGGGCACTGTCGTGGGCACGATAGCCAGTGGGTGGCTGTGCTCCTCCAGCGTGTTGGGCGGCTGGCCCCTCGTCTTCTACGTGTTCGGGGCGTCCGGGCTGGTGTGGGCGCTGGCGTGGTGGTGCCTCGTGTCCGAAAGGCCGGAGGACCACCCAGGCCTGTCGGAGGCTGAGCTGAAGAAGTTGAAGCTCCACCAGGAGTGTGTCAAGGGAACGGAGGTAAAGCAACTGCTGGAGGAGAGGTGGCGATGGGAGGGCACGGGGCTGATGCGGAGTACTGGCGAAAGAGGTGCGATTCTTGCTGTATATATGCATATGTGTTTTGCATTCTGTTAGGCAATTCATTCATCGTTTATCAAAACTTTCTCTTGTTCAACCAACTTGATGCTAAAACCTTCCTAATAATCTCTCCATTTGTTCCAGACAGTAGACATTCCTTGGCTGGCCCTCGCCAAGTCCCTTCCTTTCTGGGCTCTGACTGCAGCCACCGTGGGGAATGACTTCGGCCTCTACACCTTGCTGATGCAGCTGCCCACGTACCTGCGAGACGTCCTGGGCTTCAACTTGGAACAGGTATGGTTGTTCTTAACGCGCTTGGTTTTCATGTTTTTGCTGATTGGTTTATTATTTTAATGAGATTCTGGTTACTCGACATTGTTGACGTATGAGAAAGTGGTGTAGCAGATCCACTACAAGAAAATGTTGTTTCAAGTATTTTGGTTTTGCGTACGTTTTTCTTGGCTAATCATCACTATCATTGTTATTGTTATTATCATTATTATTATTATTATTATTATTATTATTATTATTATTATTATTATTATTATTACTGTCATTAGTATTGTTATTATTATTGTTGTTATTACTATTTTTATAATTATTCTAATTATTGTTATTATTATCATTACCATTAGTTTTGATTCATTGCTGTTATACTTATCGTTATTATCATCATTGATATGATTAGTGATGTTATCGCTTTCATTATCATCATCATCGGTATCATTACCATTCCCATCATTATTCTGTTGGTATTTTGTTGAACTAATTGTCGGATTTACTTCTGGCAGAACGGAGTGGTTTCCACCTTGCCTTCCCTGCTGATGTGGGCGTCCAGCCTCGGGTGGGCGGCGCTGGTGGACGCCCTCACGGCCACGGAGAAGTCTTCCATCGTCACTGTCAGGAGGCTGTCCATGGTCGCTGGTGAGTCCTTTCGTTTGTAATGGTGGTTGGATACATTCTGAATCATTGGAAGGATGTAGTTACAGTATTTCCTATAGAATGGTGGGTTTGTTGTGAAAGTGTGCACTGATGACGAATTCTCACCTTAACCTCCTAGATAATGTCGCAGTTACAGTCTCTGAATGATCAGTGTTCTAACCTCATTTCTCTGTTCCTTGCAGCATTATTGGGCCCCATGTTCGGCCTCATAGCCTTGTGCTTCGTGCAGTATGATGCTGTTCTGACAATCGCAGTGCTGCTGGGCTCCGCCATCTTGGCCGGCGCGGCGAACAGCGGGTTCCTGTGCTCCCACCAGGACTTGGCACCGAACTTGGCGGGGACTTTGCTGGGCATCACCAAGTCCGTGGGCGCTGTGGCAGGAGTGATCAATCCCGCGATCAGCAGTTTGCTTCTGCACAGAGAGGTTTGTGTTTGGCCGCTTGTTTGATGAGTGTTTGGGTGATGTTCCATCTTTATTTTTATGCTGATCATCATGCATGTTAATAGGCATAATGATTACAACGAATTTTGTATAGATAATGATTATGGCAATAGTCATGATAAGATAGCAATAGTGCTAACAAATGTGATTATTTTAAAAAGTTATTTTTTAAATAGACCAAACACCAAACACAGACTAAACTTTCATTTTCCCCCAGGATATCATGACAGCATGGCGGGATGTGTTCATAATCAGCGCTGCCATGTACTTCATCAGCTGCATCTGCTATCTGGCCTTGATATCGGCCGACGTCCAGCCTTGGAACTACCCGCACTTTCTACGAGGGACTTTGATGGAAGAAAAGGCAGTGGATTTTGTGACTTTTTCTGTCTCGGTGTGCACGTCTGTTTCAGTCTCTCTCATTCCCTTGAACTCTCCTTCTTCTGCTCCTTCCCCCGCCTCTCTCTCTCTTCCCCTTCCTCTCCCTGTCCCCTTTCTTCTATCTATTTCCATTTCTGTTTCGATTTGCGTTACATATGGCCAAATCACCCTCTCCGTTTCCCTTAATTTCTCCATCTATCTCATCTTATCTATGTCGATTTCTCTCTCTTTCTGTGCCATTTCCATATCAGCCAACTTGTCCATCGCCTTGCTATACACTCTGTCAGTTTCACTTTCGCTCTCGCGGCCATACACGGTGTTCGCAAGAAGAAAGACGTCCAATGAAGTCCTAACGATGTCGCAGATGAACGTCCCACGGTGATGCACACTCAACGAAGAAAGATTTTAACGTGTAAGATATCCTGAGGATGCCATGAAATTCTGCTACTGCCGGATAAGCCTTCCATAAGTTCCAACGTGTGAGAGATCCTGATATGAAGTCCCGAAGTTCTGCTACCTCATGAGCCTTCTATAAGTGTAGGCTTCGTAGAGTTCAAGTCGTTGTTTATGGAACCTGTAAGGGTTTTCCATTCAGCTGACAGCAACCAAAATCCCCTGACAGGTGTAAACAAATTCCGAATACGCTATACACAACGAAGAATGAAAAGAAATGGAAGTTAGTGAGATGAACTAGTCAATAATGTGCATAAATAGTCAATGAAATAAAAATGGCAGGGGCAATACCTACTTAATGGTGATACGAATTCGTCAATGTGTAGGAAAGACAAGAATACCTCCAAGGCCTTTGATATATGTCCAATCATCCCAGTGAACTCAAGAAGGATTAATCGAGAATGGACCATACCAACATTGCTCTACAAAATGTCGACTATGAATTGAGAGTACAGATATATTACGGTCAGTTCACTCCAAGTCGCTTATTGAGATCATTTTCTTGTCTTTTGCTTGAGGGGGAAAAAAAGAAGAAAAGGAATGGTGTGAGAAGATGGACATGCGTCTATTTGACTCGAAAAATATGAAATATGCATTTCGATGTTTTGTAGGTATTTTCTTGCTTCTGTCGATACATATATTTCTTTTTCATTGTTAATGTTGTTGATATTACATGATTTTTTAGTGAATTTTGTTATTATCATTCCCATTGTTTTATCGTATGAGTTAGAGAAAATATTGAATGAATAGCACTTTGATTGATAAAAATGTGGTGTGATAAAAATAGCAGACTTATAATGATGATTATGATATCAGTGATATAAATAATTTTCACAGAAAGATATAATATGGGTACCACAGTCACAGATGACGATGCTGAGGTTGACAAGGAAATAATCAGAAATAAATGTGATTCTAATGATAATACCAATAACTATGATATTAATACTGCTACTGCTAATACTTCTACTGTGATGATAATAATGATAACAGTAGAAGTATTGATAACAGTAATGTTGATAAAGATGGTAAAAATAATGATAAGAATGATTGTGATAATAATAATAGAAATAATGATAATAGTAATGTCAACTAAAATAGTGATGGAAATGGTAATATTAAAGATATCTGGAAAAATATTGACAGTGGAACTTACATTCATGAAAACAATGTTAAGATTCATAATCATGATAGTGTATAAAATGAAAATAATAAAAAGATAATATTGAAAAATGAATAGCGATAAAGCTAATGTTGATTGTTATGTCGATCTTAAAAATGACAATGATGATAACGATACAGATATAATGACAGGAATGGTTATGATAGTGGCAGTGCTTATTTATGTGGAGCGTAAAAGAGAATCTAGGATTGGCATTTCAGTTTTTTTTTTTTTTTTTTTTTTTGTCAAATATGGAAGATGGCGGAAAGGCTGAAACAATAGTAGACATAATATTTGACGACAATTTTTATTGATTCATTTTGTAAACATAAAAGAGCATTGGATTATCTTTTATCGCAAATATTATTTCATCCGGTGTGCTATATATATCGCACTTCTGTTATCTATGAAATTATCGCTGTCTTCCTATTTAGAACTGTTAATTTCCGTTAATATGATAAATGTTATATTAGTCGTAAACTAGTATTAGTATTACTAGTTACTAGTATTATTGTTACTAGTTACTAGTATTATTGTTACTAGTTACTAGTATTATTGTTACTAGTATTATTGTTACTAGTTACTAGTATTATTGTTACTAGTATTATTGTTACTAGTATTATTGTTACTAGTATTATTGTTACTAGTATTATTGTTACTAGTGTTATTGTTACTAGTATTATTGTTACTAGTATTATTGTTACTAGTATTATTGTTACTAGTATTATTGTTACTAGTATTATTGTTACTAGTATTATTGTTACTAGTATTATTGTTACTAGTATTATTGTTACTAGTATTATTGTTACTAGTATTATTGTTACTAGTATTATTGTTACTAGTATTATTGTTACTAGTATTATTTGCTAGTATCATCGTTACTAGTATTATTGTTACTAGTATTATTATCATTATTGATGTTATTATTATTATCGTTATTATCATCATTATCATTATTATTACTATTTCTTTTATTATTATTTAGTATCATTATCATTATCATTACTATTTCTATTATTATTTAGTATCATTATCATTATCATTGATATCCTTTCTGTCACTATTATCAGTATCAAAATTATAAAGATCAGTATTTGTTCGAATTATTTATCATTATCATTGTTGTTATTATCATCATTATCATTGCTGTTATTATCATCATCATTATCATCATGGTTATTACCATAATTAATATTATTGTTATCATTGTTGATGTTATTATCATTGTTAATGTTGTAATTGATGTTATTGTTATCAATGTTAATGTAATTGATGTTATTGTTATCATTGTTAATGTAATTGTTATTGTTATCATTGTTAATATTGTAATTGATGTTATTGTTATCACTGTTAATGTTGTAATTGATATTATCATCAATATTGTTACTATCACTACTTATTATCATTGTTCCTGTTGTTACTTTTATTGTTGTTGCTGTTGTGATTGTATTGTTACTACGGCTGTTATCATTGGTATTATCATTATCGTTTTTATTATTGTTTTCCCTATTGTTTTACTATTATTGTTTTTATTATTGTCTTTACCATTATTATTGCCATTATTTTGTTATTACTATCATTATAATTATTATTATTACTATAATTATTATTATTATTATTTTATCATTACCGTAATGATATTGATAATAATGATGATGATGATGATAAAGAATTGCCATTATTACTATTATTATATTATTGCTGCTGTTGATGGTATCATTATAATTAATAATACAATTATCCTTATCCATAGTGGTAATACTAGTACTAGTAATAATAGTAATAGTGGTAAATTAGCAATAGTAATAGTAGTAGCAGTAATAATATCATACTAGCTATTATTTAAGCTATAATCAACATTAGTAAATGAACATACAAATACATTCCAATCTTTTATATGTATATATTTTTTTTCGTTGCATTTGTCTCACGCTCTGTGAATCAGGGATCAGAAAACATGATACTATTCAGATGTCGGACGAGACATTATGGTGATTCATGATTCATTATGGCACCAGTATGCGGTTTGGTGCTCTTCTCTAATGAAACCACTGGAACCTTCGCAAAGCCGGAGAGCCAAACATTCGCGATAAGGTTGACGATGTCCTCCCCGTTTCCCTACGCGATGTAATAGTACAACACGTGACCAAATTATACCCAATTGCAGCTGAAGGTGCTCGTCGCCCGTGCGTCTTCAGTAAAGCTTTTTCATGACGCTGTTGCAAGGTTGCAGACACGGAAACGGAAGTTTACCTGCTTGACTGGCTGTTGATGAATTAATGCGATGGTATGTAGCTTAACTGGCGTATGTACACCATGCGATCCGACAGCTAGCCCAAGTTACGGTAGGTTAAATGAGGTCAACGACTCAATACTTACTGTCAAAGTAATGCCGACTGTCTTTCTGTCGTGACGTGTCCCCGTCTTTTGGTAGCACGTCAAAAATGCATTTAAAGTAGACGGAGCTTTCATGGACTTTTTGTATTAATGGAATTCAATACAAGTTTTCGGGCAAATCAGACTATGTGAATTAAAATAGATATGCCATTTAAACAATCTCGTCTCCGTGTTTGCCTTAACGAAAAGGAAATTTAAAGGAATGTGTTTAAATGCGCGCACACACACACATGCGCACACACACACACACACACACACACACACACACACACACACACACACACACACACACACACACATGTATATATATATATATATATATATATATATATATATATATATATATATATATATATATATATATATATATTTCATCAACATTTCCCAATGCAATAGATGACTAACTGATTATCACAGGCCAGAGGAAATGCGACTGAAACAGAATGGCTGAAGTTATCGACATAAGTCTAGCACATAATCTTAATATTTCATTTTACATTACTGCAAATTAAGCATATGCATTCTCTGAATCAACAAAAGAAAAGGTAATCCTCCACAATCACGAACCAAACAAAGACCTGACTCGCCCGTCACCACAGAAATCAATATAATTAGCTAACAGGGAGACTAGGATAGGTGTGTGTGAATTGTAAATAAGATAAAGAAACAAATTTTCAGCTGGATGATATAACAGTGACTTTCTTTCAGGAATACTGTTTGTTTGTTTCACATAGATTCATAAGATTTAGTTAATGTCCTATCTTAACAGTATAATGACAAACACAGAGATTGCCATAGCACCTGTATTGATAATAGGAGCTGAAAATGGGCCTAGCTGCAAGCAATGCGGAAAACTCTTAATTTTTATTGAAGATTGTGGTCGTCATTCATTCGCGTTTATTGCTATAGAATCAGGCTAATTATTTTTAAGGTCTATAAGCACGAAATTGGGTTTTACGAGTTTATGTTGGGAGCTAATGTAAAGTGTAGTCTGGAAATATTTGATTATTGAATATATAGATGAAAAAGGTTATATCAGAAAATAAGTTTCGTGTGCTGATGCGCATGGTTTGATAACTGGTCAGATTTTTCTTGAAAAAGGTATAGATGACATGTAAAAACAATGCACTACATTGTTTATTTGAGATAATATCCCCGCATTCAAACAATCTCCAACAGATTCTCAAACTGATTCGCCTATCGAATTATTTTCTTCCGAGGCGAAGGAGCCAATGAGTCGGGTTATGTGAGGTCAGTGAAAAAGAGGCAGAAGAATACTATAAGTCATAATATTAAGGACAGGACTGGCAGGAATTAGGGTAATCAATTTGACATAAGATTTTGTTTTCAGAGGGTAGTTTACCATTGCCGCACCGTTTACATACAGTAATTTATCTATCCTTTAGGTCGTTTTTAACCATTGCATCCATTTTTTATTAATATCAAAAATTAAGGTCTTTATATAAATCAGATATCTGCGTGGTAATAAAGCTTCCTTTTTCCATAACGCTTCTTTGCAACTCCCATAAAGTACCCAGTCATTCAACGAGTCCCACAGTCACTGTCCAAAGAAGGACCTGACCTGACAATCACCAGATGATACTGCTCAGGTGCTTTCACATGAGAGATTGGGAAAGATATACCAATTTGTCAAACAAACAAAAATGAATATTCTCAACAATGCCAGTGACTTTCTATTTGTCCATCACTCAGGTCGTTTTGTGCAAGTGTCAGTCATAAAATACAAGGGAACACTCAATACCGATATTGTAACAAACTATTTAAGGACTTTATTATTTTGCACACACATATTATCGTGAGTTATTTAGATATGCAATTTCTCTCGCTACTAGATTTTTAGGAATCATTTGCGAGAAAAATGATAAAACCACATGTTCTCAGTGTCAAGATCTGTCTGTGCCGTGCACAGCGCCAGCGTCTCGTTTGGCCAGTGTATTTAGTAATTACGCAATATGCCGACTCACATTATCCGCACAGAAATCGTAAACATACAATTTACAAGGAAACGCCGCGTATCACCAGTAATATGTTAACACCATGCGATAACGAGTAGCTTAAAGTCAGATCTCGTGTTATGTACTAACACCTTTCCTGACCTCACCATAAGC